CAATACCCCTTCGGCTCACCATGTAGCCCAAGAATTTGCCCCCTTGGACGCCGAAGGTGCACTTCTTCGGGTTTAGCCGAAGGTTGAATTTTTGCATGATGGCGAAGATTTCCCGGAGGTCGTCGGCATGGCTGGAAGATTGTTTGCTCTTGACGATCATGTCGTCAACATAGGCTTCCATGGTGCGCCCTAGGACGGCTTGAAAGACCCGGGCCACCATCCGGGTGTAGGTGGCCCCGAGTTCTTTAGGCCGAAGGCCATTACTAGGTAGCAGAAGATGCCCTCGGGAGTCATGAAGGTAGTTTTTTCGGCGTCTTCCTCGTGCATGAAGATTTGGTGATACCCTCGGAAGGCATCGAGGAAGGACATGATCTCACACCCTGCGGTCTCATCCACCAATTGATCGATATTTGGTAGAGGGAATGGATCCATAGGGCACGCCTTGTTGAGATCGGTGTAGTCCACGCACATGCGGAAGGTAGGGGGCTTCTGTGCGAGGACTACATTCGCTAGCCATGAGGGATATTTCACTTCCTTGATGTGCTTAATGGAGAGGAGCATGGCGACCTCCTTCTTCACAAATTCCCTCCTTTCGGCGGAGAAGGGTCTTCTTCGTTGTTGTACTGCTTTTGCCAAGGGGTCCACCGAGAGGCGGTGGGTGATGACCCTTCGGCTAATTCCCGGCATGTCCTCCGGCCCCCATGCAAAGACAGTGGGGTAGGCGCGGAGGGCGTCGGTGATACCGGTCTTCAGATCTTCAGGGAGCTGGGCTCCAATCTTCACGACTCTCTCCGGCTGGGCCGGATCGAGCGCAAAGTCTTCTACGTCCTCGGCTGGTTCAGCCCTCGGCTTTTTTTCTTCTTGGTCGATGGTTCCGGTGATGGTGTCAACACGGAATTCCGTCTTACTTACCTTCTTAGTGACTTGAAGATAGCAGGCGCGGGCGATTTTCTGATTCCCACGGGAGTAGCCAATGCCCCCCTCAACGGGAAACTTGAGGCAGAGGTGCCTCATGGAGATGATGGCCTCGAGGTCCTCGAGGGCTGGCCGGCCGAGGATGATGTTGTGGGCGCAGTCGATGTTGACGACGACGAACTCCACTTCGAGCTGGGCTCTATGGAGCCCGTCGCCGAAGATCACCGGGAGGGTTATTACCCCCTCGGAATCAATAGTATCGCCGGTGAAGCCGGCAAGAGGGGTCTTAATGGGCCGAAGGGATCCCCTCTCCAGATGCAGCTCTCTGAAGGTGCTGAGGTACATTACATTGACGGAGCTGCCCGTGTCAATGTAAGTTCGGTGAATGATGGTGTCGTTTATTTCAGTCCGAATCACCAAGGCATCCCTGTGAGGAGAAGAAGTAGGAGGGAGATCTGCGTTGGTGAAGGTGATGGGTTCCTCCCTCAGTCGCTTTACCGGGGGCATATGAGTGACCTCCCCCACGTAAAGCGATTGAGCCCACTTCTTCCGCTGGCTGGTGGAATCGCCCCCTGTATTGCCGCCGGTGATCATGAGGATGTGGCGTTTTTTCTCCTGGTAGTGGGGGTACTCCTCCTCTTCCTCCTCCAAGTTTCCGATCTCCCTCTTCTTGCCGAGGGGGATGGTGTTCGGGTTCACCCAAGCGTTTACCTTCTTGTGGTGCCCTCGGGGAGGTCCCTGATGGGAAGGCCCCTCCTGCCGAGGGCTCTGGATAAATTGGGACAGGTGCCCCGCCTGTATCAATCTCTCGATGGCCGTCTTTAGCTGATGGCAGTCATCGGTTCTGTGCCCCTGGTGCCGATGGAAACGACAGTAGGGGAACTGAGGGTTGATAGCATGTACCTCCGGGGGCGCGCGAGAATCGCGCTCAAAGAGGCCCCTCTCCTCGGCAAAATCAAGGATGATGCTGACGGGGTGCGTCAATGGTGTCCGAGGGCGGTCCAGGAGAATGGGTTGTGCCCAAGTCTTAGGGTTGCTCTTATAACCTCCCCCGGGCTTGGCTTGGCCTTGCCGAGGGCGATCATCAGAGGGTCCTGAAGATTTGGGGTGATTTGGAGGAGCCCCCGGCCCTCGGTTGTTTTTGTTGTCAGCCCTCGGGGGCTGCTGATCCGGATGCTGGTGATATTTCTCCACCTCCTCGGCCTCAGCATATCGGTCCCCCCGCTGCAAAGCCCTTATGTAGTCGAGGGGGGGTTCAATGATGAGGCTCCTTGAAAAGTTGTCGGTGCGGAGGACGGTTTGTAGGAGGGCCAGGAAGGTCCCGTCATCAGCACCGTCGACTTTGTCGGCTTCCGTACTCCAGCGCTCCAGGAAGTCCTGAAGGATCTCATCCCTCTTCTGGCGTATGGTTAGGAGGTGGGAGAAGTGCTTCCTTGTGCGACGCCTCCCGGCAAATTGTGTCAAGAATCGCTGGGCGAGTTCTTGCCACGAATCAATGCAGCCCTCGGGCAACCGGTTGAACCATTCGTATGTCGGCCCCTCTAAGGTGGAGAGGAACCAACGACACAAATATTCGTCCGACGCCCCTACCATCATCATGCTGTTTTGATATTTGCTGTAGTGTTCCTGGGGGTCCGTCTTCCCGTTATAGGGCTGTATGTGTTGCCCTCAGTATTTTTCCGGGATCCGGGCCGCCAGTACCCTTAGGGTAAATGGCGTCCGGGTCCGGAGCTGGATGACGGGTTCCCCGGAGCCCTCGGCCACCTTCTTCTGTAATTCCTCCATTTTGGCCATCATGGCCTCGTATTTGAGATCTGAATTAGGGGTGGAGGTGGTGGCGTGAGCTTTGTTGGCCTCCATTTCATCAAGCCGGCGTTGGAGGGCCGCAATAATTTCGTCCCGGGGATCCTTCGGGAGGGTCTCCGCCCCCTGCGAACGAACCCGGGCCGAGTGGGCCTGGTTGATCTGGTGGCGAGCATCATTGGCATGAAGGGGTGCCTTGCCTTTGTCCCGAGGGGGGCGCTCCTCGTCTGCCCTCGAGACAGACCCTCCGCTTTCCTGGGGCCTTTGGAGTGCTTTCCCTCCGAGGCGGTCTTGGACCCCTCGGCGGTCTGGTCCTCCTCCGAGCCGGTTGAGGGCGGAAGTGCGGGGCCTCTCTCTGTTGTCATTGTGGCGGTCCCGGGACTGAACTTCCTGGGAGGACGTATCTTGGGCCACTACCCCTTCGTCGTTCCTAACCCGAGGGGTGGGGTTTCCGAAGGGGTGTGGCAGAGGGGGAAGTATGATGTTCTCCCCAACCTGGGGTTGAGCCGGAGCCAGGGTGCCGAAGGCACTCGGGTTCTGAGTGAGCGTTTGGATGAAGGCGGAGAGCGCCGATTGCACGTCGATGGTGAGAACCGGAGGGCTGACTTGATCATCGCTCCGGTTTTTCTTCTTGGCCTCGATGCTGAGGCGGGCATCGGGGGCATTCTGTTGGATCTGAAGGCGTAGGTCGACAGCCGCCTGTTCCAGCCCAGCGATGACACCGCCCTCGGGAGCCCTGTGAGAGGCTTCGGGGGCGTTGACGTCGCCGAGGGCCAGGTTCTTGTCTTCCACGTTTTTGGAGTTGGCATGTGTTGTTCTCAGCATTTTTGGTAGAGGGCTAGTGTTTGGCGAAGGGGGAGGGTTTCTTACTTGATTGTTCGAGCTCTCAATGAAAGCACCAAATGATGGATAGTCTACCCGGGGGGTATATTATCCGAAGGTTATTGCAGGGAATAACTTAGAGAGAAGTCAGAGCACAAGTAAGTAAGAGAGAGAGTGTATTCAGTATGAATGTCGTGGTTACAAATGGGGAAATGGGGTGCTATTTATAGTAGCAATAAATGCCGGACAGGGACACGTGTCAAGCGCCCATTGGCCGAGAGGTCACCTCAACTGGTTGGCGTTGGCAGCCGCATGTGGCCGCATTTAATGCGGCTGTTGGATGGGACGTCTGCACAGGGTACAATGATCTGTACGCATGTGAGGCGGATATCATGTCGGGAGAGGTGCCCTCGGCTGCAGAGGACTAGCCGAGGGCTCTTAGTGCCGGGGACCCCTGAGTGCCGTGGGCTCCTGGTGCCGAGGGCTACTGTTTTTGCCGTTTTCTCCCAGTTTCTTAGTTTGCTTGAGAAATATCCACGCTGTGATAGTTTGGAGCCTTCGGCCAGGGGGCCGAAGGCACCCCTGGTGCGTATTGCGTGTTGCTTGGTACTCTGGGCGCCGTGATTTGGGCCTGTTGGGCCTTCTGGGCCTGTTGGGCCTTCACTGGAGTAGTAGGAGTCTGTGGGTCGGATGTTCCCGGGCCATATACTCCATCAGAGATAATTTCGGGAGGTAGTATCATTTCTTCTAAGTTTTTAATTCTCTTTCATACCGTTTCACCTTTTTTAGTGTTAACCTTTTCAACACTATTTGCTACTCGTAATTTTTCTCAATCTCTTTGAAAAAACTCAAATGGAGAAGTAAATAAAACAAAAGTAGCATTATTTAAAAAAAATATTAAGTGGATGAAAATTAATATTATCTTATATCCAATTTTCATATCAATATATTTATAATTTTCGGCTATGAAAATTACAAAAGTTGGTATCTTGAACATAGAAATTATACAAATTCTAAATTACTCTGTTTCACAAAACTTTGTGTCATAAATTACTTAAAATTAAGAACTCATTTAATAATTCTTATTTTCGGGTTATTAATAAGCCTTATAAGTTTACTCTGTTATGAAGCAGTCACTTTTAATTTCACGCGTTAAATTGTGTTATATCCAAAATGAGTTAGGATGAAGTTACATTTCTAAGTGAGAACTGCTTTAACAATTTTTAATATAATTGTTTTACTTATTAATAAATACGTATTATATTTTAAAAACAGATTTTCAAAATTTTGTAAGTTCAGTTAATTGAACTACTTCAAAGCGAAATTCATCAATTTCGATCAATCGTAAATGGAATAAAATTTTGGTATGTGAAAGGTATAAAAATGAAATTATTATAGTTATAGTAGTGGAGAAGCAGTATTTCTTAAACTAATAATTTTGACCACTTGCTGAAATCTGTACACGCAATTCAGAAAATGTATAAGTTAAAGATGCATTATTTGGCGGTTGGCTATTGATACCATCCGTGTAGATTCCCACTGAAAAACATGCTGTTGCCAGAAGTGTTTGTGCCATTTTTGGAGCTGAGGGAGGTGCCACTATGAATTCGGATCCATTTTTTAGCTCTTCTAGTCGGAATTTTGTCTCTTTCCGGCTATCATTCTCAACCTTCCGGCCCATCAAAAGTTTTCCGGTCCAGTCTCCATTTCTCCTCCAGATCTCATTTCTTCCAACAGTCTAATATAAGGTTGCTCCTATGTGGACTGTAGTAGTATTCTCTCTGCACAACTCTAAAGACAGAATGGGTTTTATGATCTAATCAAGTTCTGTAGTTTTGTAGCTTGGATTCCAGGCAACATGAATAAGAACAAATTTATCTTTTTTTGCTTTTTTATTCTGTCCGTTTCCTTAAAGTCTAACTTTTCCTTTTCCTTTCTGTTTGATTGGAAAGAAATTTAAGAATGTCTGAGAAAGGCGGGTTGTTTTATTCCTTAGGATGGGTTCTTATTTGTTAACCGTTCAGAGCAGTACTCATAATCTTATTGAATTCCATTTCTGAGTTCTTTTAAAATTCCAAGCACTGAAAATATGTCCTCTGTTTGGTTTTGGGTAAATGGCTCTTCCTGCTTTCATTCTAGTTTCAGCCAGTTTGTGGAGTTATTTGATGTTTTGAATTTACTTATGAACGAGAATCTTGATTTTAAAACCTTGGGAGAATCCAGTTTTGGAGAACCTCCGAATTTGTGGGTTTTAGAGGTTGAGATCTATTTTGCTTTCACATAATTAACCTCGACCGGAAATCAATCTGTTATTACATTCACATAGGCTAATCCAAACAACGTTTTTGTACATGCATCTGGGTTCACCTAATTTCACTCTGTTTTTCGAATCTAAGTTGACCAGATTCACTTATTAAATTCTGCCAAACCAAATGGAGCCTAAGAAAGTACAGAAAGCACAAAGGAAAATAGGCATTACTGGTATATGTTTGCTGCATTCAAGGCATGTGGTAACTGTTTTAGCAGTATCTGGACAAGCAAATTAGGATCCCATGCATGGCTGATTGGTTGGTATCCATGTAGGACTGCCAGTCCTGCTTTTTGGTACTGTTTGCCATTAAAAATAATAGTACAAAAAGTTATAAAACCCATCCAGATTCCCCCACAAGTTGCAGTTTATGCATTTTCTACTCCTTGGTTCTTGACTTTCTGAGTCAGATCAGTTTATCTTTTTCATCTGATTGGAACATCCCATTACTTGCATCATGTGATTGTACCTTTGTATGACTTATACAATTTAGTAGTATGGAATGCATCTATATATGGGTGTGAGCTCAATGGATTATAAAGATAAAAAACTGCTCATTGATTTATCTTAGGAAATTTGGAAGCTAAGAAGTATTGAAATGAGGCTTTCATCCATGCTTAATGGGCTTGCAAGGTCCTTCTCATTGAAGAAAAGGAGGAACAGCTCTGAGGATCGCAATTGTAGTGGGAGGGTAGCTGTGGAAGCCATGGCTAAAGTGGCTAAGAAAACTGACATGGTACGGAGATCTTCTGGTTCCATTAATGTTGATTGTTCTCGAAATTTTTCTTCTCTTTTCTCCAAAAGAGGAGAGAAAGGAATCAACCAAGACTGCTTCATTATTTGGGAGGTATATATTCATATTTTAATGCTCATTGTTCTCATTTTGTGGAGGATTTAATCAAGTGGTAGGGTTGTTAGAAAATGGAAGTAATTTCTACTTTCTAGATAGAAATTTATTAGTCTTATAATCTATACGGTACACATAGTTTCTCTTACATTAACTAGAAATTTCTAGAAAAATGCAGCACTTTTGTTAAGTCATCCAACATAAGTCTAAATAAAGATACAAGTTCATATATTAGACCTTGTGCTGTATTGAAAATGACTTGCGATGCAACCCGTTAAGCTATGAGAATCATTTGATCTTAATAAGCCTCACCGACGAGTGCACCAAACTTTAGATTGGTATTCTAAACGAGCCACCAATATAAACTGATATATAAAACCTTGGTCTAGTGCTGATATTTTAGAAAGAAATCTCAAGTTTTCATATCTTTCAATGGGGTTTCTTCTAAATTCCCAGTTCTTTGCTTAATGCCTTTATAGATATGTGATATATGCAAAATATAAGCTGTCTTTGATAAATTATATGATGGTAATAGGAGTTTGGATGCCAAGAGGACATGATATTCTGTGGTATATTTGATGGTCACGGTCCTTGGGGACATTTTGTGTCAAAGATGGTTCGAGAATCAATGCCATCAACCCTGCTTTGCAATTGGCAAGAGTCATTGGCTGAGGCTGAGGCTGAGGCGGATCCGGATTTTGGTTCGGATGATGACAAATTGTTAAGTAAGTTTAACATATGGAAGAACTCTTACCTGAAGGCTTGTGCAACTGTAGATCAGGAACTGGAGCACCACCCTAAAATTAATTCATTCTATAGTGGAACGACTGCCTTAACTATTGTCAGACAGGTCATTCCTCAAATTCTTGAAAGCCATATGTTTTCTGGTTGTCTATGATGGAGTGCAAATTATCTTACTAGCCTCCATGTAAAAGACGAGATTATTTACTCTGCCACAATGGCTTATTGTTAGAATATCACCTCACATTGAGTTGATAAGACATTGAGCTTAACTGTAATAGATTAGACTCAATCTTTTAGTGTGGTTTGGCCCAAGCCTCTTATGACCCAATTGTGAGTTTTTTGAATTTCATGGAGGGTGATAAAATCCCACATCACAAAGTTAATGATCGAGAGAATAATGATTAGTATGACTGTGAATTGAAAAGTTAAAGAAAGAATAATGGGTTAATAAGATTTAACCGATTAGATTTAATCTCTCAGTATAGTGTGGCTCCAACTCCTTATGACCTAAACTATTCCTGAATTCTATGAGGCTTTGATTCACTTGATGGATTAAGTAGCTCACTAAATTTCAACATAATATTCCGTAACAAATATCGATGTGCATGGCTACGGTTCATTTTGAGTATAGGACTAAATTTTGAAAAATCAGTTTATTTCCTTTCACCAAATATGTGCAAGGCTCCGTAAATTTTGTGCTACATGAAATCCATATTATAGTTGTTGCATATAGTCCTTTCTACAATTTTATTCTTGCTGGATCTGCATATTAATTTTGGTAATGAGGTAAGAGTCAGATTGGTAATCGAAGTTGCATAAAAAAGGTCAAATAAGTCCTTACTGTCCGACCGTCGCCATTTGAGGCGGTTCCCGGTGGAATTTTTTGATGAATTTTTTTGAGCATCTTATTCATTAAATATAGTTTACTCATACCAAGTTTTAGCTAAAACTTCAATCGGGAAGGCATTCAAATAAATTCTTGAAGATAACTGCGTTTTTAACTGCGCAGTTATCTTCAAGAATTCATTCGAATACCTTCCCGGTTGAATTTTTAGCTGAAATTTGGTATGAGTAAACTAGACTTAATGAATAAGATGCTCAAAATATTTCGTCAAAAAATTCCACCGGACACCGCCCCAAATGGCGACGGCCGGACAGAACCTCCTATATAAGGACTTATTTGACCCTTTTTATGCAACTTCAAGTACCAATCTGACTCTTACCTCTTTTGGTAATGAATTGTGATGGAGAATCTGAAAAAGGCTGTTATTAAGTCTTCACTCAATAATTTGCAAGTAGCTATGCAGAATTGTTTTTTCAGACTCATTAAATTGAACTCCATGTTCTTGCCCCCACCCCTTGATATCTTGACATCACAGTATTGAGGTTATAAGTTTTTAAAACCTTGTAGGGTGAAGAGATTTTCATTGCTAATGTTGGAGATTCCCGCGCTGTATTGGCTACAACCGATGATGATGGAAACATTGTTGCAGTTCAGCTCACTGTTGATTTTAAGCCTAATATACCCCGTGAGTCTCTAGCTCTCCCTCTCCCATCCTGCCACCTTTCGTTCTAACCATGTACATGTTCTCATTTAAAAAAAAAACTGGGATCCCATCTTAAAAGGTCAAACATATATGAGGAGTGATCTACGTTATTTATAATGTGGGTTTTGCTTTTGTATTTAGCTTATGTGAAGTGACTTAACATAGTATCATCATATCATGCATTAACTGTACTCTACTCTTTCTAGAGGAGGAAGAGAGAATAATGCAGTGTAATGGGCGCGTATTCTGCTTGCACGATGAACCTGGGGTGCATCGACTCTGGCTTCCCAACGAGGAATCCCCAGGCCTTGCAATGTCTCGAGCCTTTGGCGACCGTTGTGTGAAGCATTGTGGACTTATTTCTGTGCCTGATGTGACACAAAGGCATATAACAAACAGAGACCAATTTGTGGTTTTGGCAACAGATGGGGTATGTTTGATGTCCCTCCTTCTCTGTTTCGAGTCTCGTGATGTTTTGGATTTAATAACATCATTTTAATTAGCAGTTATGAAACATCAACTTAGAACCTCCTTCCACTTTTAGTACTTATATTTGAATGTTTTCCCACTTTTCCTCCTTTCACACAATGACACCTTTGGGGCTCATTTTTATTTTCAACACAGTAGGTAGAGGGCAGTTTGTTACAATAGTGAAAGACTAAAAATGGGAAAGTCCAACGATGGGTACTGAAAGTGTCTCTCTTTCAAAAGGAGTAAAGTGGATAAATTTACAGACAAGTACCAAAATGGTCATTGTAATAATAGCCATTTGTACTTGAAGTGGGGGGAAATTATCACACCAAGGGCACCCAACTTTGCTGCTTCCTTCATACAAACAAAACAACTTGATGTATATGAAAAAAATTCATTGAAGGTGTGGGATGTCATATCCAACCAAGAAGCCGTGCAAATCATATCAACCACAGCAGACAGGGCGAAAGCGGCTAAGCGGCTTGTTGAAAGTGCCGGTCATGCATGGAAGCGCAAGCGGAGAGGAATTGCAATGGATGATATTTCTGCTATTGTTCTCTTCTTCCATTCTCCACCCTTTTGTGAGCAACACAGGGTTAGTAAACACTAACAGTTGATTAACTTCACAAAGTGAAGAGAGTCACACACACAACAAACAAAAAAACATTCAGCAAACAGCTGTGCTTTATTTCATTTGTTAGAACGGTATAAGTCATCCCTTTACCAGATTTCTTTGCCGTTCTGAAGGATTTATTTTTGCTCCGCTCCACCCTTTTCGTTGAGTTGCTTGTTAACATCACGTTCTCTAAATCTTAACAAAATATAAACTACATACAAATTGAACACATTTTCATCAATTTATCATTCTCATGCAGTCATGCTAGTCTAACTATCTTCAATCAAATGTGGCCTAGCTCTGATACATTATTTTAAACCAAATCTTCAGCTATTACAATAGAATCAATTGATTCTGTCTTTTTAAAATATATATTTTAATAACATTAGTTAATTGCAACTTCTACTTTTCGGATATTATATGGATAAGTTTAACGTTAAAAGTTGATGATGATTGAAAATATAAAGTGATAGTTAAAAAGTAAAAGCAATGTTCTAGAAAAAATGACAAATAGTTAAAAGTTTCTCATGCTTACCAAGCTTTAAAGTGTTTAATTCAAGTAGAAACACAAACTGAAAAACATTTTTTTAACTTTCTTAAAGCAAAGAAAAATATTTTAAACAATGTAAAACGCTCATCCGAATTTTCAGAGACCCTATGTTAATCTAAAATAAATTATATTTATTTAAACAAGAGTAAAAATAATGTACACTTCCAAAAGAGAGGCACTAACTTCAATGTTTTTTTAAATACAAGTACTTACTGTCATGTTTGAGATATATAGTTTACACTTTACAAAGATGCACATGGATAATGAAAATAATGCAAAACTTAAATATGCATATTTGTGTTTAAACTAATGCATAGTTAAAGTGCACATTTCCTGTGCACATTTGTGTCTTAGATCATGTTCTTATTTAAACCAAACTCTAGATGGTTATAATACTAAGTGGCCAAATTAAATGTTCTTTTCTAGACTGTAAATATTGTATGGATTAATAATATTGCAAGTATTTGTACTACTTAGCTTAATTATGTAACTCTTGTATAAATACTCGATCTCCCAGCTCCTTTGCAACGTCTGTAGAAATACACGAACTTGACATCTTTTTATCCTCGGTTAGATAAAATGTGCAAGTGTACGTAGAAGTTATTTAATTTACTCTTTTTCTTACGGATTTAGTTTTTTAATACTCCTTCCGTCCCATAAATTAAAATAGTTCCTGCATTGATTTGTAACAGAGTTTAAGAAAGTGGGTATAACCGTATAAAGTGGAAATTTATGATTGTGGATGAGTTTGAAAAAAGGTAAATGAATATGAACCCACACAAAACTTTCCAAAACGAGACAACGGAACTATTTTTTGGGACGACCCAAAAAGAAAATCGGGAACTATTTTGGGGGACGGAGGGAGTAGTTCCAACTATTATCTATAGGATGGCGTACAATTAAATACTCCCTTGCTCTTATTAGTAGAATTTGGTAGTGTTTGAGAAAAAAATGTTTAATGGTAAAAGTTAATAGTGTTTGAGAAAAAAATGTTTCTGAAAAGGTAAAAGTTGGTAGTGATAGAGTATATATTCTAGAGAGAAGTGAGAGCTAGAGAGAGAAGTGCAATATATGCCGTAATAAATGATTTCTCAACCCCTACAACTACTCCCAGGGAGAGTATTTATAGAGGAAATGCGGGCTGGGCTCCCAAGTCTTGAGCTTGGGAGGCACATTTACAATGGGGTCACTACTGGGCCGAGTACAAAGTATGTAAAAATGACTAAGTATAAAGATCCGGTTCTGTGAGCTCTTTGTGGCCGACGGAGGTCTGGCCGACAGAGCCCCGACCGACGGAGACACCCAGTTCTCCTGACTTCTGGATCATGTTCTGAGTTGATGTCTTTCTGGTCGATGGAGGGCCATCTGACCGATGGAGGTCCCACTGAGTGACAGCTGTGCCTCCTATTTTTCTGAGTATGCGGGTCCTGAGGTCTAGACTCATATACTTTATCAGGTAGTGTTTGATAAAAGAAATGATTTTTGTGTAATAGAAAAGGTGAAAAAACAATTTAAAGCAGCTCTCAAATATGATTCTATCTTTTAGCTTTTAAGTATTAATTTAAACAAAAAATGACATTTGAAAACAGTCATGTAAGGAATGTCAATTATGAAAGTTTAGAAAATGTTGTTGGGGTTGAAGACAAAAATATAATAAATTTTGTAAATTAGGAAGTAGACCTAAGTTATCTTTAATAACTAACGCAAAATCAAGATACCCATGGCATTTAATTAAAGCAAAATCAAGGGTTCGTATACCATACGATCAGCCCACTGTCAGCATAGTACACTCGCCACCAATACGACGTAGTTCCAGCAATTGGCCTCATTATTTTTTATTTGTCTTTTTTTTAAAATTGTAATAACTTTTTTATTTTTGATCCGATTTTTATAAAATTTATATCAACATTTTTTATTTTTCATGATCTTTCAAATGAGACCAATATTGCCTATGTAATTTTAACATATTAACATTTGCGTGTAAAAATATGTAAGTTTACGTGTTAAAATATGTAATTCATGTTCAGTCAGGCCAAATGCAACCCGTGTGTATAAATATGTAACTTTACGTGTAAATATATGTAAGTCGCGTTCAGACATGTCAAATGCAACTCGTGTGTATATATATATGTAACTCGCTTATAAAAAGATGTAACTTGCTTATAAAAAGATGTAACTTGCTTATAAAAAGATGTAACTTGCTTATAAAAAGATGTAACTCACTCATAAAAAGATGTAACTCAATGTATTATCAAATGTAACTGATGCCACTGATCCACTCCCAAACAAATTCGATCTTCTATTTCATGAACCTATCATCTCCCAAACAGATTCGATTTTTCTTATAATCCAATACTCATTAATATAATAGTTCGATAATTTCTTAAAATTACATACACAATATTGGTCTCATTTGAAAGATCATGAAAAATAAAAAACGTTGATATAAATTTTATAAAAATCGGATCAAAAATAAAAAAGTTATTATCATTTTTAACATCAAAAGCAAAAAAAAAAAAACACTGCAGTCGTTTTTGCAACCGGGCGCACCATCCTGATGGTGCACCGATTGCACCATATCATTTGCCCAAAATCAAGGTACACATGGCAATTGGCGTCAAAATTTAATGGAAACTAAACTAGAGAACTAAAAAAGCAACATCTTTTGAAATGCAATTTGCCTAATCAACTTCGTGCATATTAAATTAATACTATCATGCCTTTCATTTTAGTCGGAAAATGGAAAATTCATACTTTACTTTGACTACTATAATTTGAATTTGCGCCTCATTTTATTGTTCAAATTAGACTTTGCAATTCGTTTTTAAAAATCTTTGTTTTTGCACTCCATTAATTAATCTATTGGCCTTCAGTGATCAAGGGGCAATTTTGTTTTTTCATATGAGGTTAGGGTGCAAAAACAATTTAAAAAAAAAACGGGTTGCAAAGTCCAATTTGAACAATAAAATGAGACGCAAACTCAAATTATCACTTTATTTATTAATATATGAGATTTTTAAAATATTGTTGAATTCATCTCATTTCAAAGTTTCATAAATTGATTTTTAATTTGTTTTACTAATACAAAATTAAATACAATGACAATCAAAGTTGTACATTGACAAGTGCGAAAATATGAATGTTGCAACTAAAAAACGAATCAAGTATCTTGGTTGACTTGCTACCTCGATATTATATATACATATGTTGTAAATTTCACCGTAAACTTAATCAAATATTTTAACTAATACTACGTATTAAGTATATTTTTGCGAAACTTGTAAAATTTAACAGTTTTACGATAATATTTTTTAAAAAACATTTATTTGATCATAGATTTTCGAAATCTAGCCATTTTACATTACAAGACATGACTAGGGCTGTTAATGAATCGAGTCGAGCTTGAACACCCAGAGCTCGAGCTCGGTTCAATTCGATAATATGGTTGTTGGGTTGGAGCTCGAAGCTCAACGAGTTTTACAAATGAGGTTCGTGTTCGGCTCGATAGGTGTTCGATGTTCGAATCGAGCGCTCGATAAGCTCGACAAATATGCTCGAATTTAAAATTTTAGGTGATGCTAGTTAATAGGTTTGTGCTCGAGTTATTTGGCAAGTATTCGGTTCATTAATAACCATATTTAAATTCATAAAATCATACTAACTATATTTAAATTTTGACATATATACAAATTATAATTAATATTTATAATTTCAAGATGTTCGATAGGCTCGAATCGAGCCGGATACTACTATGTTCGAGCTCGGCTCGATTGATTTTTTGAACTTAAAACTCAGCTTAGGTTCGAGTTCGAAAGCTCATTAAGCTCAGTTCGTTAAGTTCGAAACCGAGCTCGAACTGAAATAGTTCGATAAAAGCTCAATTAGTTTAACAGCCCTACGTATGGCACTGAACAATTTTAGTCATTGTGTCATGTCCGTGTTTCACAACAAATTGAAAGAAGTAGCTTGAAACAATTAGGATCACATTTTTTCCATGTATAATTGGCCTCTTTCTCTAGTCTAGTTATCATGATATATATGTAATACTCGTATCAACTAAACATTATATTCTCATATTCCTCGCATCTAACTTTCTCTCCCACCAATTTAATCATCACATACCTACTTCCATAACGAGAATAACTAACATCCCAAAAAAATGCTATAAAAGTTGCTTCACTTACAATTATTGTTCTCCCGCATTCGGAGGAGAGGGTCAAGCACCTCCTTGAGCCCGGCCCTTCTCCACATTCTTCACATATATTGATTTGCTTAGGAATATAAGAGTTGTAAACAAAAACAAGAAATAATCTAGCTCGGGAGAAATGGCGGACGAGGACAAGAAAAAAAACATGATCGTCCTGGGCGTGTGTTCGCTACTTCTTGTGGCGATGGTGATTGGCCTGACAATAGGGACGGGAGGCCGTGACACGACCGTTCGCAAGGAAATAAGCTCGTCTGAGAAGGCAATCCAAGCCATATGCCAACCCACGTCCTACAAAGAGACTTGCGTCAAGAGCCTCGAGTCCTCCTCGGCAGCAAATGCCACAGATCCAAAGGAGCTCATCCAAGCCTCCATGGAAATCACCATCAAGGAAATTCGCAATGCAATGAACAATTCAACATTGTTCAAGGAGGTCCGTCAGGGGGATCAGAGATCCAAAGATGCCTTGGATAACTGCCAAGTCTTGGCAGAACGTGCCATTGACGATCTGAATAGGACATTCGAAAAGTTCAGCGAATTTGATCTAGCCGATTTAGATAACTGGTTATCTGACTTGCAGACATGGCTTAGCGGTTCCCTCACGTATCAGGAAACCTGCCTTGATGGGTTTGAAGGCATCCCCGGAGATAGCCAGGCTAAAATGAAAAACCTTCTCAAAACGTCAATGCAATTGACGAGCAATGCTTTGGCAATGGCAACTGAAATATCGTCTGTTCTCTCAAATTTGGGCGTTGAGGGTATCAGTAGCAGCGCTAACAAACGCCGCCTTCTCGCAGATAATGACAATGATAAAGAACATGTCGTTGCACATGATGATGAATTAGCGGGAGAAGCAACTCCTGATTGGGTCGAGGCTGGAAGGGGAAGGTTGCTTACAGCCAAGACGTCAGATATCAAACCTGATCTCATTGTGGCCAAGGATGGGTCTGGGAAGTACAAGACCATAAACGAGGCATTAAAGGATATCCCAAGGAATAGTAACAACACATTTGTATTGTACATCAAAGAAGGTGTTTATGAGGAGCAAGTTACATTTTACCGTAACATGACACATTTGATGATTATGGGAGATGGTCCAACCAAGACCAGAATCACTGGAAAACTAAACTACATTGATGGAGTTTCCACTTTTCATACAGCAACTGTGGGTAAGTTCATCCCGATCTTAGCTAAGTTTCCACTCGTCTTATAACTTTTATGATCATAATAATAAAAATTTGCATCTTAGCTACATCTTAGAGCTCGTTAGTAATCTCACCATACATACGTTTCAATATTGTAGCTGCATTGGGAGACTATTTCATGGCTAAAGACATTGGGTTTGAGAACGCCGCCGGGCCTGAGAAACACCAAGCAGTGGCATTGAGAGTTGGCGCGGACAGGTCAATTTTTTACAACTGTCAAATGGACGGGTACCAAGACACTCTGTATGCCCACCTCTACCGCCAATTCTACCGGAATTGCGTCATCTCTGGAACCATAGATTTTATATTCGGGAACAGCGCCGCCGTGCTCCAAAACTGCACATTGGTGGTGCGAAAGCCATTGGAGAATCAGCAGTGCATTGTGACAGCACAGGGTCGGATAGACCCACGCCAACCCACAGGCCTTGTCTTACAGAACTGTAGCTTCGTGGCCGACCCAGAGTACCAACCGGTCCGGTTCACACTCAAATCGTACCTCGGCCGGCCCTGGAAAGAATATTCCCGAACCGTGATCATGGAGTCGTACTTGGAAGACTTCATCCAGCAGGACGGGTGGTTGCCGTGGGCAGGGGATTTTGCACTCGAAACTCTCTTTTACACGGAGTACAACAACCGAGGCCCTGCTTCTGGCAAAGAGAACCGTGTGAAATGGGGAGGTGTCAAGGAGCTTCCATTGAATCGGATTGAGCGGTTCACCGCTGCCCGGTTCTTACAAGGTGAAACCTGGATTAAATCAGTTCCTGGTCTTCCCTATAACCCTGGTTTCATTTTCCCGCCTCCTAAACCTAACACCACAATTACTTACTCCCCGGTGGAGCCCGACGAGACGAAAGATATGGTGGCGCAAGATAAAGCAGCTTATGATCCTCCCAAAGTCGCTCCAGCTCCGGCTCCAGTTCAGGATCCAGTTTCGGCTCCCGAATCAGCCCTGCCGGTTCAATCCGCAGAAATTCCCGCGCAGACTTCGACCAGTACACCTCTTCAAGATTTATCATCTCCGGCGTCGTCTCCGACTCAATCGGGGCCTCCCAGTCAGGTTTCGGCCGGAGCAGATGCTCCAATTCTATCTTCTCCGACAACAGCTGCGACCGATCCAGCATCATTAGCTCCGGTCGTTGACGCTACGCCGTCGGTTCAATTGGCCTCGACTAGCGGCGGATCAGTTCCAGCTCCGGCTCAGGCTGAAGCTCCCACTCAAGGCGAATCTAGTGTGGTGTCAATTCCTGTGGCGGCTTCGACGGAAGCTGATAATCAGGCTCCAGGCCCAGCTGAAAACTCAGCTACGGCCCAAACTGATGAAGTTGGGGGCCCATCTGAAAAGGTGATGACCGCCTCGCCACCCACTCAAGCTGCGGCGTCAGTGGTTGCTCCTCCAGCAGAAACGGAGGTCAAGCCACCGTCGGGAAATCAAGAATCCAAAGGGTTGTTAGGTGGTCTTTTGGACTTTTGAGAAGTTTAAAGGATTGGAATCATTTTTTTATGTTTCAGCTGTATACAAGAATTCTATCAGTACTAAATAGGGCACAAACATTTAAATAGATATATATCCTGTATTTAATATTTCCTCTTTTATTTTGGTTATTAAAAAAATTACTCAGTGGCAACGGAAAGAAAATGGAATTTATCTCAAATCTTTGTTTGAAATTGAAATCAGAATGTTTTATTGTGACACTTTATTCCTACAGCAAGAGCACTCTTGATAACAAACTCCTCAATCCTTATCATTCAAGACTTGAGAGTTGTCAAATTTTTACTTAAACAATGTAACTAAAATGGAGTTGAAAATGTATATTTCAAACTCTTTAATTTTTCATCAAAAAAAAGATTAAATTAACCACGAAAACTGCAAAAACATGTCTTTTATCTTTTTAGCAGGTTGAATCAAAGTCATCTAGTTACTTATGTCAACCAATGTAATTAAAGTGATAAGTGGTTATTATAGCCTCATACTAATCAATCCACGAGCTATTAAAAACATCTTATTCTTCCTTTTAAAATAGGAGCATATTAAATGTCAAATTTTCTTTTTTGATTGTCCAAAAAACTACTACTTATAATTTCCATTTATCATGTAATAATAAATACTCTTTTCATCCCAAATTGCAAGATATTTTATGATTTAGGATGTTTGATTGACAATAAAGTAAATTGATATATTAAGTAAAAGATTAGAAATGTATCTTAAAAATTAGGGTCAGGGAAAGAACATATTTCACATTTTCACTAGAATTATCTCTCACGTGCAAAAATTTTAAGCCCACGCCATTTTTCATTTTATTCTCCATCCCAAATTGATTTATAGTCAATATTTTGGGTTAAATAATGTTATAGTTATATCCTTCCTATTAATAATATTAATAATCAAATAAATTTTAATGATTAATACTTACATATTCAAAAATTACATTAAAATTTTTAGATAGTTGTAAAATCCAAATTAGAGTACAATTTAAAATTAATATCCTAGTTAATTGAATATAATGAAACTGCTTAAGCAAAAAAGTTGACTTCACAAATCAATTAGGGACGAATGTAGTATTGAGCAATTTTAATGTACACGTCAACTTTGCGATAAACCCCACACTTTCTTACAATTGCTTGTTAGATGTGGCCCCGCTTACCCTATTGGTATGATTGTGTGAAGTGTGAACTGTCTAACAACAAAATTCAAAAGACGCAATTGGGTATAGAAGAAAATTTAAGATCCCAAATATTACCCCTCAAAAAGTTTGAAATCATAGAAGGAAATCAACTAAGAACTAGAGTGAAACAATTCACACTAATGATAGATAATATCTTGCAAAATCCCAATACCAGAGTGCAAATGATATTTCTTTTGCCTCAGAGGCAACAATAAAATTAAGCCTTGTATCCCCTGCTATTTCTTTTGCCTCTTGCTTTCTCAAATTTCCTCCCCTTGGCACGGACATAAGGCTTAGTGTGACTGTGTGGAACACCTGGAGCTGGGCCGAAGTGTTTAACTGCTTCACGAGAATTTTTAGGACCTCTCAGCAGAATCTGTGAACCCCAACAAAGATACTTAACCAAAAAGTAGAGGCTAGCTAATATTTTTCCATTTAACAAGGCGCTCATGTCCCATTAGGTGTCCTGCTTGACCTATGAAAAGCTTTTTATTTGGGACAATGAACTATTGAATCATGCAGTAATTATATTTTACAACCTTTCTGGTGGTTTATCCAACTTTCATACGGAGTATTAAACTTTCTTGTGGATAAATTTCATTACTTCATAAACTTATTTCATTGTAATCATAGAATCAAAGTTCATTGTAATCATAGAATCAAAGGGGACTCTTTTTTAGAAGAAAAAATACGCTTAACAAATAGAACTTGGAACGAAACAGGTAACACGTGTGCAGGTCTAGGGACCATTTACGAAATGCAATGCAGCATTTTCAGAAGGAACAAAATCTGAAAGAAAGATGCACCTTTAATAAAATCAAAGGTTATCAAGGTGACCACAATGGCACAATCGCATTGATCACATAGGTTGAAATGAATGATTAACAAAATGAAATGACAGTATATAAGTGTAATGCTATATGCATCAAGTGAGATAGTCATGGCAGGTATTATATTGTTTACCGTGTTCTGCCCCAAAGGAGCACGAAGAGCTAATTGATCAAAAGTCAAACATTCACCGCCTGCCTTCTCTATTCTGGCCCTTGCAGTTTTGGTGAACTTCAGAGCACAAACCTTTATTGCGGGGACATCATAAACTCTTAAATCATCGGTAATAGTGCCAACTAACACAGCAATCTTGTCCTCCTATGCGGACAACCCATAAATCAATTGAAGAGGATAAAGAGCAGAACAGGAAATTGAATATAAGTGCAACCAAGATATTAACATACAAGCTGCAACGATAATACCTTTCCCTTCACGAAGGAAATCAGCCTAGAGAGAGAAAGCGGAGGCTTGTTGATCTTGCTCATAAACAGACGCTTCAGGATGACGGCATCGAACTGGCTTCCAGTTCTTCTTACCAAAAATCGGTAAAGCTGTAAGAACAGCCCGCTGATTCAGAACTACACACACAACATACATATACATACAAAAACATACATGCAAGTAGGAACATGCAGATTTTACAGAGATGAACACGTAAACATTCCAAAACACATAGAAATGAATTACAGAGGTCGAATCACACCTTCACAAGGAGCCTCAAGTAAATGTCGTCGGACTTCGGAGCTGTGCGTTTCGTCTTCTTGCTTTTGCCACCCGCTTCCAAATCGATACCCTACAAAACAAACAATGGCAGGTAGTCAGTCACAGGTCGATGAACGAATTGAAGAGGATCGACGAATCGAAGACGGAGGTGTACCATGGTCGGTTGTCAAATCTCTGCGAGTAAAATTGAAAAGATGATAGGGTTTTAGATTTTAGTCAGATTACAATGGACAGCGGGCCGCCTTTTGGCCCATTCGAAATGGATAACTTCAGAACCCGTTTATCTATTCTATTTTTCGGTTTGTTAGGCTTATTGATTAATTTTTTAGAAAATTGTCAAATAGGTCCCTGTACTCTTATCATTTCGTCAATTAAGCCCTCCTACTCCCGAATCATCCAATAAGGCTTTTTAGCCGGTTACCAGCAGGTCAGGCCGGTACCCGCTGACCTAGAAGCATACGTGGCAAATGACTACCCGACCACTTATCCTACGTGTTATCCCGCTCATCTCACCCTAAAATCCAACCCCAAATGCAACACCGCCAATCCCTAACCCTAATTCTTCATCGTTCTTGAGCTTCCTCTTCTCCATGCGATTCATGAGCGAGCGTGGACGAAACAACTTCAATCTTACAACGATTAACAGTAAGGTATGTATTTATAGTGTACATCACTCCCATTCTCGTACGATTTATATGTTCCTTTCCCTTTCGCATAGTAATTTATGTACTTCATCTGAGTTAGTTTTTCATTTGCATGCATCTAAATTCCAAATCGGTATTTTATCTGTAATGTGTGTAGGATGTTTGAGACGGTGGAACTGATAATTCACCATGGGGGGATTTTGTTGTTGGGCCTCATAAAATGTATGTTGGGGGGAGCAATAGATTCTATACCCGCTGATCCGGATGTGATAAGCTATCCTCATTTGAAGAAGTTTTTACAAAGTGGGAAGTATGGCAACATCAGTGGTCTGTACTATAAAAACCCAAAGTGCCCCATTGGAGTCCTTACATGAGCTCTTTGATGATAAGTCTGCTCTGCATCTTATTGATTTGGCCAGAAGTTGTGGTAAATGTGAGATTTATGTAGCACACGCAATAGATGAACCTTATGTTTATCATGCTGATGATGAAGAAGGTGAACCGTATATTGATGATGAAGATGAGGATGGTGTAATTCTTGAAAATGAAATCAATGATGCCACAGATGTTGGGAGCGATGCCCCACGTTCTAACACTGATTTTGAAGAACAGGGTTCAGGTAGTAATGAAGGTGCAGATGGTACTGAGGACAGAGGTCATGAAGATGATGGGCTGAGAGATGTGCTAGTCACTGCAGACCATACTTCCACTGCAACTGAGGAAATGGAGCAAATTCCTACTGAACAAACTTCACCAGGCCATATTAGTGAATCTGAGGAACAAACTACAGAGTATGACTCATCCAACCCTGGTAGCTACCAGTATGAGCAAGAAGATGAGCACAACTCCAAAAGCCCACCTGCCCACAATGCTTCTTATAACCCAAAATCTGATCCGCCCCATTTTCTTCCGGGGATGCTTTTTGAGGACGGTACTCAATTTAAAAAAGCTATGATTAAATATGATGTTTATCACAAAAGAGATATTGTATTTGTTAAAAATGAGCCCCATAGAGTGAGACTTAAATGTGCCATTAATTGCCCGTGTGCTTGTACTGGAAGTTAGGATTGAAGTGTTTTCAACTCAAGGTTTGGGCCTCAAAGCATTTGTGTAACTTGAAGTATAAACTTAGAATAGTGAGTCAGAAGTGGTTGTTAGACATATATGAGGATAAAGTGATACAGAATCCTTCTCTTCATTTAGTTGAATGCCTTTTTGTGTAGGGCATGGGTAATGTAATACAGAGTGTTCTACCTCAGTCTGAGCACAGAAAATGTGCTAGACATATACATGCGAACTGGAGCAAAACTCATAGAGGCACGATGTTGAAGAAACTATTTTGACAGTGTGCAAAGTCTACCTCAGAAGCTCAACTAGAGGCTTCTTTAAGTGAGATAGACAAGCTTGATGGTGCAGCTGGTACAGACTTGCGCAAAAATCCACTGAAGTTATGGTGCAAGGCCTTTTTCAAGACCGAGGTGAAGTGTGACAGTGTTGATAACAACTTGAGTGAGGCTTTCAATAGCACACTGGTGCAGTTCAGAGACAAGTCATTAATCCCAATGCTAGAGTGTATGAGAGTGGCTTTGATGAAAAGAATAGCCAAGAAGAAAAAATATGTGAAGAAGTGGCGAGGTGGGGAACCTACATAACACTGATTATCACTCATTTACAGATATGAGCATTAATGTTTACCACTTGTTTATTGTTTGTGTTCTGAGGTGCATTTGGACCATTGATAATGAAGAAGTTGAACAAGAACATACTATCAAGTGAAGGCTGGAATGTTGACTTTAATGGAGATGATGGCTACGAAATTAAAAAAGGAAGGTCTCAGTTCAAGGTTAGCCTGAACGCAAGAACATGTGCATGTAGAAGATGGGATCTGACTGGTATTCCCTGTGCTCATGCCATATGTGCAATCCTGGATAAAGGAGAAGACCCTGAAGTATACGTCCACTCATGTTACTCCAAGGAAATGTATGTAAGAACTTACTCCTTCACTCTGCATCCAATTAATGGTGAGATGTTGTGGCCAAGAAACCAGTATGAAGAGATTCATCCTCCCTTGCCTAAAAAAATGAGTGGAAGACCAAAGAAGAAAAGGGTGAGAGAAGAATCAGAAATCCATGCACCTACAGGAGGAACAGATCTGCCAAGGAAAGGAAGAATAATGACATGCTCAAAGTGTAAAGGGGAAGGTCATAACAGAAAGTCTTGTGCAAATGGAGAAATACCTACTACAGTTGATATAAGGGGTAGGGAAGGTGGAAGTGACATGGGGGAGACAGTTGAGAGGGGAGGGAGAGGTGCCAGAGGGGGGAGAGGTGACAGGGGAGGAAGACCTAAAAGGGGTGGGAGAGGTGAGAGGGGGGGGGGGGGGGGGAACTATTTTGGATGTAAGTTTTTTTTGGAATAGATTGTTTAATGTTGGTTCTTGACTTTTTTCTGAAGTAATGTGCTTGAATATAACTGTGATTGCAGCCCGGGCAGATTGGGGAAACACTAGTGCGAGGAGGCAGCTCTGGAGAACATGTGGAGGGGGTGAACTAGGAGAAGACCTGGTGTGGAAAATGTTTATTAAAGTAGCTATTGTAATGTGCAAACTTATGAAACAATGGCCTATGTTGCAAAGTTGTATTGATGTATTTGGCTGCACTATTATTTTGTATTTTGGAGTTAGAGGCAAACATTAGGTTTTGTATTTTTGGATGTATGACCTAAACAATGTGTATATTGGGTTTAAAGTCAGGTCTTTTCTATTTGGTATTAATGAATGAATGAATGAATGAATTTTAATGTACTTTGATAAACAATAATGTTGTATAAGTAATCATTCTTTAAAGCAGCATATTGTATAAGCATCAACACAAATAGCTTTGTGTTAACATTATGTATAAGGCATTTTTACATAATGCTTTGTGGTTTATGCTATTTGCTTTGTGCTACTGTAAGATCATATAGAGTTCAGTACATTCATTCTTTAAGGTATATGCTATTGGCTTTATTCGGTACATATAAAGGAATCAGTATGCATTATGCATACTGAAAAGAGAAAAATGTGACATACTACAACAAAGCTATCGACCAACAATATAACAAAGCTATCAGCCAACAACAGATGTCTATATGCCACAGCTTCAATAGAACAAAGCTATCAGCATGAACAAAACTATAACACATTCATGCCACAAGTACTGGAATAACAAACTACACAAAAAGGAGAACAGGGGACTAACAAACTACACAATAAAGGAGAACAAAACACCGCTTCCAAGCCTTGAATTTAGGGTTTAAAAAATCAGTCTGAAAATTCAATACAGCTTCCAGCACTTCACCGGTAAACAAAATGCTAAAACTTAACAATCCAACCCAACTAACCAACAAGCACTGCATAACCTACCATCTCTGCCATTACAATAATTTATTACAACCTCAAATGCATACTTCCTACTAATAGAAGAAGTACAAACATAGCAAAAGCACACAGCTTCCTATTCTTTTTGTTGACCTTTGCCTCATCATCAACACTAGCTTTAACAGCACCAATCTTTTCCTCTACATGGCTTAGTTGTAGGACAAGGCCTTGAGCTAGTATTTTCACTTCATGTAACACTTCATTCTGATCTACATGCCTCACATTTGCTTCCTCGACTACAGGCCTAATCAAATCATTTCTTGCAGCATCTTCCTTCCATAAAAAATATCCACAGCTACCTACCTGTACGTACACCATCATAAAACACCACCATAGTTTTAGTTAATGCTAATATATATGTGTTGCACCAAAAAAAATTACGTTTCACACTCTAATTGAACACGACACTACGAAATCAATGAATTACCTTCCATTTTTGACATCCGAAAAACATTCTTCCGGTCTCACGTCCAACACAAAGAGGGGCTTTCAATCCACACCAACAATAGACAGGAGGCTCGTAGTCCATCGTCCGGCTTCGTTCTCTGCTACCCGTTGAGGTCGATGAACATGACATGGTTATTCACAGACACACGTATCGCAGAGAGAAGAGGAAGCTCAAGAACGATGAAGAATTAGGGTTAGGGATTGGCAGTGTTGCATTTGGGGTTGGATTTAAGGGTGAGATGAGCGGGATAACACGTATGATAAGTGGTCGGGTAGTCATTTGCCACATATGCTTCCAGGTCAGCGGGTACCGGTCTGACCTGCTGGTAACCGACTAAAAAGCCAGATTGGGTGTTTTTTTGAAGTAAAAGGGCTTGATTGGGTGATTCGGGAGTAGGAGGGCTTAATTGACGAAATGGTAAGAGTATAGGGGCCTATTTGACAATTTTCTCTTAATTTTTGCACCGAACACATAATCTTTTTATTATGGAAATATAACCGCAATCTATCTACTTTCTCTAATGGTATTTCATTTATGTCTCAAGACTTTTTAACTTGAGAGAATTCCCTAAATTGAAGTAAAAAAGTTTTGAAATTCCAAAATACGAGTATCATGTTTTTTATTCCTTGAATATGAGTAAATTTCTGTCAAGTTTGGCATTACTAGGTTTTAAAACATGGCATTTTTTTCCAAACTTGACAGATTACTCCTATTCAGGTAATAAAAAAAATGGTACTCCTATTTTGGAAT